GGGGGTCCCTGAGGGGCAGTGTTGCTGGGCCGGCAGCAGGAGGTGCTGGGCTGGGCAGCCCCTGGTTTGGCCTTCCCTGGGCAGGGCTGGGTGTGGCCTCCTCACCCCCCGCCCTCAGGGAAGAGCCAGGCAGGGTCAGGATTAGGGCCTTCAGTTTTCACCCAGGGGAGCTTCTCTCTGCCTGCACTGGAAAGCCACCCTCAGGGTCTATTTTCTAGGTCATTTTGCTGACTCAGCCTATCACATGTACTCAGCCCAAGCCTCAATGTGCCCCTTCCTGTACCATCATTGCCAATAGAGCCATCTGGCCTGCCCTAATCCTGTCTGTCTGCTTTAACAGCATCCGACAGGCCAAATCCCCCAGCCAGTCCACAGAGCACTGTTGGGCATCCTCATGGCCAGCCTTGGGTCTTTGTTTCAGAAACATTTGAGGTCCTGGAGCCCCAGCTCTCTAATTAAGCAGACTAGCTACTACCTTTGGCAGGGGAAAGGGAGGAAGAAGGTCAGGCCAGAGGTCTGTGGCAGTGGGGAATAGTAGCTGGCAGAGCTTAGCCACATGACCTTTCCTCAACCCAGCCTTCCCTATGGAAAGACAGAGTGTTCAGGAGGACAGTGTTCCAAGATTTAGAGATAGAGGCAGGAATGATGAGGCCCCATGGTGTCTCTCACACACAAGCACACCCTGTGGGCCTCCTTGTGTAGGCCCATGGAGAGCTCCCGGAGGCCTAAATACTCTCAGAAAGGCATGAGCTCAGAAAAAGGCAGACATTACGTGGGACCCTCTAAGCAGGCCCCCACTCTTGCCTGACCTGCCTCAGGGCTCATGGAATCATGGACAAAGAAGGCTGTAAACCTCCTGTCCAAGTCCCAGAGCCGAATGTGGGTCAAGGTGGTGCTTGCCTCGTGTCCTCTCCTGTCCAAGCAGTTCCACAGTAGACAGAGCTGTGGGGTAGTGTATGAGCTGGTTTGTAATAGTCAATCTTCCTAAGTCAAGCTTCATTTTCACCTTTTTTTTTTTTTTAGAAAAAAAATTCATGAGGGTCTTCGACAACTTCTGAGAGTGGTACCTAGAGGACAGGAACATATGCAAGAAGGATTTAAGTTGGTATGTAGGGCTGGAGTCTGGAGTCGAGGTTGCTGGCTCACTGCTCTTAGAGCATTACTGAGGAATCTCACTCCCCGCCCCCCACCAAATGTTTCTTCATTTCCTTGCAGGTAAATGAGCAAATGGCAAAAATCAGCTCCACAGGTAAGTTGCCCTGCCATCTTCCTGGTAAGTGGGGCACACAGCTGGTGCCCGTGGGTGAGGTGTGTGCAGATTCCTAGCTCCTAGTGCCTCTTCCTAGCCCTTGCTCTTGGAGTCAGTACCTCTCCTTTCAGAGCATAGGATTTTTTGCATCAGGTAGGCTCTGCTGTCCCCTGTTTCAATGCAAGGATCTTGGTCACTCTATGATTTTTGACCTAGGGTTGTTCCCAGTGAGCAAAAAGAAAAAGAAAAAAAAATTGTAGGAACCTTGAGCAGACTGAGGCCTCTTTTCTGTGGAATCCACATCTTGTTTTCCCCTACCTGGCCTTACCTTCCTCTTCCTGCTCCCATTCATTTCTTCCTACTCTTGAGTTGCCTCCGGGGCATACAGCTCAGACAGTGCAACTATCTCTTTTGCTTAGCATGCATGAGGCCCTGGGTTTGATCCCCTGCTCCCCCCACAAGATATATAAATATATATATATATATATTGCACACCCTGAATAGAAGTCTCTCTGAACTGTGAGCTTGTAACTTCCATCAGGAATAGGTGGGACTTGTTGGGGAACAACAGTGAGGGGTTGTGGGGTCCCCTTCTAAATAACTACAAGACTTGACACAGATGCCAAGAGTTTCTACAAGCTGTACCTGAATTGGGTGCTTGGCTTCTGCCATGTTCACTGGGCTCTGCAGGAGGGTCTGATTGCTCCTTCCTCCATACAGCTAATAGGCTGGCCCTTGTAGACAAATGGCTGGGCTTCCTGGGGCGGGGGGAAGGGTTCACAGACAGGGAGTTAATGAGAACTCAAAGCACCTGTCTCAGAATGCTGAGGTGAGGGGAGCCCCAGACCTGCCTGCAGTAGTCACTGCAGGGCTCTGGAGACCTGCAGCAGTGTCACAGCTTCTTTAGCTCCACATGGACACGTGCTAACTAGGCCCCCCACTTGTTGATTATTCTGTAGGCAACAACGTGGCCAGCATAATTATTGCTCTGATGGGTGGACTACTAGAAGAAATGACATTTAAGGAGACCAAGGAAGAGGTGAGTCCAGTCCGTGGTTCTCTGCACCGTGCCCCACAAAGACTGATGATTTACTCTTTGACACCTTTTTTTTTAGGCTGACAAGTGTCGGAGTCGAGGGGCAGTCATCTACACTGTGGGTGTGCTGGGATACAACAAACACCAGGTACTTCAGAGCAGATGCCCAGGGGTCCCTCTGCAGCCTAGTTGGGGAAGGTCTCACGGGTGGCTTCCCAGAGCCTGGAAGAAGCTGCTCTTCTCACCTGCCTCAGGGAACTTGAAAACAGGTGGCTGCGGTGAAAGGACAACCAGAGGGTGTGAGTCACCAGCATCACCTGTGCTGGGTGGGTGGGGGGAGCTTCCTGCTCCCTAAGCCTGGGCTGTGGGCAGAAGCCAACATCTGACCCCAGCTCCTGACACTCCACTAGCCCCACTGCAAGAGGGCAAGACACTCTGCCCTGGGTCTGGGAACCTGCTTTCTCAAGACCCTGGGCTAGCTGAGGGGCTCAAGTCACCTCTTTTCCTTTGTAGATGACAGCCATTGCAGACTCCCCAGATTACACAGTTGGGGTGGACACAGGATTTAAGGATCTGAAAAACATTGTTGAGTCGGTGAGTCTGGCTGAATGTGAGCAGAGGTGATCTGCGTCTCTCTGGATCCTGAGGATCACACTCCTAGCCCCCTTCCTCCCCTCTCTCTTCCAGCTTGCTTCCAAGACCTGCATTGAAATCACATCTGTAGAGGCTTCCACTCTGTGTGCAGGAGGTGAGAGCTGAGGGGCCCCTGGGGTGGACAGATGGTTTAATGGATGAGTGTTCACATTGCATGAGTGTGCGTGAATGTGTATGTGGTGTTTTGTGTGGGAGGTGAGACTGCATGGTATGTGTTGTGTATATGGTAACAGTGGTGTGGGATGTGTGTGGTGTGTGTGTGATGGGTGTTTCAGTGTTGTGGTGTGTTGTCTACTGTGCAGGAGGATATGAAGTGTATATGCACTGTGTGGTGTTTATGTGATGTGTGGTGCATCTCAGAATTTGTAGGTGGTGTGTGGCATGTGTGATTTGTAGAATATCTTTGTGGTGTTTACAGTCTCTAAGAGTAGTATATGCTGTGTTTATCATTTGCACGAGCCATGTATTGGTGTGTGTGTTTCTCTGTGTGTGACTTACGGGTGGTGTTTTGTAGTGTGTATAGTGTTTGTGTGGAGTTCTTTATTGAGGTGTATGTGCTGTGGACCCAAGTGTGGGTGTGAACTGTATGAATTATGTGGGTTTGGTATAGCTTTGTGGGATATGTATTCAATATGTATGTGGTGTGTGTCATGCATGTTTGTAATTTATGGGTGGCATGAGTGGTATTACAACAGGGAGTTTGGTGTTTGTGTATATTTATGGTTTCTGCCTATATAGGTCATGGGGAATATACATGAGTGCACAGTGTTGTGTGGTATGTGTGCCAGAGAATATGTTGTATGTGAGCACAGTGGTATTGTGTGCGGTATGTGCTTATGTTGTGGGTGTGTAGAATCTGTATGCAGGGTATTTGTGGTATATGCAGTATTCAGGGACTGGTTTGTGGTGTGTTAGGAGTATGGTATTGGATATTATGTTTTTTTGTATGTGTGTGGTGTGTGATTTAGTACCTGTAGGTGGAGTGTTTTTCTATGGTATATGGAGGGGTAAGTGTGCTTGGGGTATACAGTATATGCATGTGCATATGTGTGCCGAGGTGTATGTGTGGTAGAGTGTTTGTGGGTGGGTGGATGTGTGGGGAGGTGTGCATGGGTGATGTGTATAGATATGTTGTATATGAAATGTACATTGTGGGGGTATGTGTGTTAGAAAGCATGGTGTGGGTATGTGCCCAAATATTATCTATCTAATACAAAATGTTTAATTGCAAAAGTAGAAAAACATATTTTTAAAAACTCTCAAGGAAACACTAGAAAATCAATGGAGCAACATTTAACAGGCCAGTAGGTCAAGAGAAGTCAGGGCTCATTCCAGGAGGACCAGGCTGATGGGGGATTTGAAAAATCTGTAGAGTTAGTACAGCCACAAAAAGTGTGGAAACAGTGATATCAATGGATAAAGAAAAATAACTGAACAAAAGTCAGCTTCCAGTGTCCCTGCCTGACAAAGGTGTCCACCCTGACAGTCACCCAGTGGGGAAAGGGCCACTTCTGTTCCTTGTCCCCAAGGACTAGACCTAACCAGGATGCCTCTGACCATCCTGCATTCCTGCCTCAGTGTGCTGAGGACACAATTGTATGGTCTTGGGGATGGTCACCTCTCCTTGTCACAAACCCTGTATGTAGCCTTGGTACCACATGGTTGGTGTCCTCACACTGTGGTTGATGGAGACAGAACCCACCACCTCCTTTTATCCCTGGTGACAGCTCAGCTGCTACAGTGAACTCTGGCCCAGGTAGCTGGGTCCTGGCCTCCCTGCCCTCGACAAGGAGGCTCCATGGCCACAGGCTGTTGGCAGCAGAACCGTGTGTTCATCCATGCTCTGCTACCTGTGGCACCAGGCCTGTGGCACCAGGCCTGTGGCAAAGTGTGGCCTAATATGGATAGAAATAGTACTGTCAGGACTGTTGGGAGACACAGAGGTGGTGATTGGATCGGCACTTGGAGGCTGATGGGTCCTAAGGACAGTGGCAGGTCCTGATATTTCCACTTTGGTTCTTGGTTCAACATTCCCCCTGCCTTTGCTTGTGCTGGGCAAGTACTAAGGGGTGGGGGTGGACTCAAGGACCCCCATTCCCCCATATGGCCTCTTCTGCTTCTGGTTTAAAGCAGCCCAGGTGGCTGGTGCCTGTGTGTCATTATGTGCCCTAGACACACAGGCCTTGGCATCTGAACAGTTAGGACAAACCCCAGCTGGGGATGTGAGATGTCACTCCCTCTCCTAGCAGCTGTACCAGTGTGACAGATGTGTCCAAACACAAGCTCAGCCAGTGACCTGTTCACTTACTGGCCATCTTGTGCAACTTGCCACATACAGAGGGACAGTCACTCACATGGGAATCCCAAAGCAGAATCCTTAGAGCTAAATGAAACAGATCAATCCTCAGTTTATCCTGTGAGAATCAATACATCTGTCAGAGAGTCTGATGAAGGAGGTCAGGTGAAGAATAAAGTCCTTGATCAAGTGAGCTGGGGCATCTCAAGTGCCATTTTAGTCTGGAATGAGTCAGACATGGGTCAGGAGGTACCGTGCAGGTGAATAGGCCTGGAATCTGACTCCTTTGCAGCTGGCCACGCTGCTCTCCTCTCTGTTCCCTGTATTGGCCTCAGGAGAAGGAGGCTACACACTGGTAGAAGGAAGTGCTCTGTGCTATACAGGGTGGTGGCTGTGCTCCTAGGTATTTCATGAAGAGACAGGGATGAGGGATGATGTGCTGGCCTCAGGACCCACAGTTGGGAATGGACACATCCTGGGAGGAAACCTCCTGGGCAGGGTAGGGGCCTCTCCTGTGCCATACCTGTGTTCCTGCCCTGCTCCTAGGGTCTCCACTATCACAGGCAGGAGGAGGAGAGAGAGTCCCTGTACATCCAGGAGCCCCACAGGCATAAGGCAGGGCTTCTTCAGCCTGTGCATCAGAGCTCCTCTCTGCCTTCCATATGGGAGGGCCGGCTCAGTGCACAGCCTGGGGCCCTTGTGTGAGACTTCCTCTGAGTTGGACCTTGTGCATGCACTGGTGTGGGCTATAATCATGAATTTTTGGGATCAACTGATGGGAGGAGGACCACCAAGTGTCCAAGGCCCAGCCACCTCTGCCACATCAGATGAGAATGTGTCCAGAGGGACCCATGGATGCTGGTTCAGACGCAGCTGCTGCCTCATTAGAGCCCCTTGGGAATCTTACCTTGTGTGGAGTGGACCCCCATGAACAGTGAGCGGAGGGAATGCAGCCCTCAGCTCTTCCTCACTTAGACATTTTAATGTTTTGTTTGTTTGTTTGTTTGTTTTTCTAGAAATCTATGAAGTGATTATTACTGGACAAGGTTTTCATAATGCAAAAAGTAGGGACCAGGTTATTTGTAGATTCCTGTTCTCAGACAACATTCACGTGGGTAAGTCATGCCTCATACCACCAGGTTACACATTTATTTTACAACAGAACCCCATCCCTCAACCAGCTAGTTCCCAGTCCCTGCTGACCATCCTCAGTGGTATTGTGTGGTTAGAGGCAGTGTGGACAAGTGGAAGGAGAGACCTGCTGGGATGCACGGCCACCACTCCTTTCATCTAAACATGGGAAGTAATAAATCCTCAGCAGCCCAAGAGTGTCCTGGAGTAGGGATTCACACCTCCACAAGGATGAGTTTGTGCTGGGCTGTCCCCACAGCAGCATTTGCCCCACAGTGTCCTCAGCTCCCTTTCCCTGATGGCAGATGACCTGAGCTCAGGAGGCTTA